AGAGTAAGGTGCTTATTCAGACCTTAGAGGCTATTGTGCTTTTGCCTGTGCTTAAGCAATATCAATACCATCACACAGCATTTGATCAGAGCATGTTCATACCTTGCAAGAAAAAAAATCTGGAGCATATTCTTAGAGGAAGCATTTGTAGTGCACTTACCCCCAGAGCACACTGGGAGCTGAGTGTGCCCAAATATTTTGAGGACCTGGACTCAAAGCCTAGCCTTTGTCTCTTATGGGCAAATGTAAGGTTCACACAGGGAGAGAGAGATATTTGACTATTAAAATTTAACACCCTATCTTAAGTCTTCTGAGAAGGTAATAAATGTAAAATAAATTTATCTATAACTATCATTGCAGACTTCTCAGAATATCACAAAAAAAAAAAGAAAGATAAATCTTCCATATTCTAAAGTAAGATAGAAAAAAACACATAAAGAGCTGCAAGCAGCATAAAGGTGGAATAATGCAATTCCTATGTAATCTTCACTTATTTCATGAAATAAACTTGAAAATTGAGGACAGAAAAGATCCCTAGAGGAACAAAAATCTTATTTAATCAGGATTTTGCAATATTTTATTTTAGTTTATGATGCTACAGAACAGCCTTGATCAACTGGGTTTTTTTCTCGCCCTTCCCATAAGGTTCTACTTTAAGACCTCCATATGCTCAGTTTTAATAATTTGTTCCCAAAACTCAGGAATTATTCCAAACGTGAAATATTATGGTTTTTACTTAAAAAAGAAAAAAAAAAAGAAAAAAAAAAAAGCGTGAGTGAGAGAAAGATGGATTCAAAACCCAGGTATGGCATCTTTAGAACACATACCATAAAAAAAAATTGGTTTTCATCAAATTCTCAGATTCTGTTCCTTTTCCTCCAGATATTCTTTTTCCACTCCATAGCATTCAACCATCCTAATAAAATTTCTGTAAATGCTATAGGGGATATTTCCTCTTATTACAGTATAGTTTTGTGAGCTGCCTCAGCAACTGCATAGCTAGCCATCACTTGCCTTGCAGTTGCAATTCAAATTATTGATATATCAAGGTGTCTCTGCAAAGGGAAACTGAAAATTTTGGACATTTTTTTCTGGGAAAAGAGAAAACTTTTACAGGCATCGCTGTTAAGTCAGGAAGAAATTTGTAGAAAAAGATGAAATTTCTTGTTTTACTTTTGTGTTGGGACTAAGTATTACATCTTTGGAAAGTACTTTGGAGGACGACTCACTGGAATCGCCTGTTTAAACAGAAAAATTAAGAGCATTCATAAATTTTGAGTGCATTGCTTAGTGAAAAGCTCCATCTACTAACTTATCAAAACATATCTACATATAGCCTGTATATAAAAGGAAGATGAAAGATTCTTCTCCATGTGGGCAAAGGAAGACTGCACTAAGCACAGGCCTGTACAGACCATCGAGGTTGCTGTGATCTTGGAGAAGCTCTTGATGTTTGATTGTAATTTAGGTCTAAAAGATCAGGAGTGAGTGCTCTTTAAAAGTTTTCCTCCAGGTGCAGAAACACTTTCCTCTACATTATGAACAAAACCTGTGTTTTACCCATCTTTACACAGTGTTAGCAAATTTGGATGAGGGAGGGAAGGGGTTTAGAGCTCTTACTTTACAGGGCCTAACCTGTTCCATAACAATGCTCTTGCTGCATATAGGCATGGGGGGAGACCAAAGCTGTGGTACCAGCACTGTGATACAGTGCACAACTGCTGGCATCCCAGACAATGTGTGTCCTTCATCTGAAAGAACAGAGAGTCTTCCTCTGTTTAAATCATGCAAAGCATGCTGGAAAGACAAAATTGCACATCAATTTTCAGACAAATTAACCCACTTCTAGTATTTGTTATCACGAGAAAGAAGGTCTGTAAGTTGAAAAAAAAGCTCTAGAAATCCACTTCTGCTGTCTGGACAAGCTGGAATAGCCATCTCCTGAAGACATCAGTGGGAGGAATATTAAGCTTTGGCTGGTCATTACAGCAATGATGACAGGAGGGACTGGAAGCTGGAAGGCACCATCCAGAGCTTTCTGAAATCAGTGCAAATATTTCTAAAGACTTTCATAGACTTTGGCTTAATCCTGGAGAGAGCAAATGGGGAAAAGACAGTTTTTTCCTAGTGGAGTTGGAATAAGGGAGTGTAGCTCAATGAACACATATGCTGTTACCATATGGGTGGATAGCTCTGGGATTTCTGCCATATTGATCCTGAAATCAAATACAGTTTGTCTTTCTAGTTTAGATAAACTAGATCTTCAAGTGAAGAATTAACTTCAGGTGAATGCTGAGTGTGGTTTCTTCAGAGGTTAATTTGTAAACACACAAGCCTTTCTAGAGCAAAAGAACAAGACCACAGCCTATGTTGACAGGTCTTGATCACAATTATGATTGAAAAACTAGAGAGCTCTGCCAAAATTGCTGTGTTCTCTTTGCCTGTATTCATTATTTTTAAAGGGATCTGATTTGATCAGTTTTGCTTTTCATAGAGGCAGAGGTCACTTTTCAATAGCATTCTAGGAACTCTCCTTCATAGGAGACAATTTCAATGAAAGGTAGGCTCTGAAAGGATGCACCACAGATGGATCACAGGCAAAGCACAGGGTATGGATCACCTCTACAGAAAAATTTGTAGCTTTTCTTCTGGAAGTACTACATTTATTTGCTTACTGTTTGGGCTGATGTCCAGGTCATTTAACTATCAATGTTTCTCAGCATATCAACAAGCTGGTGCCCTAGTTATCAATTGTTTCAGGGCTAAGTCCTATATGTAAGTTGTTTTGGCATTAATAAAATCTAGTTAAGATCTTGCACTTTGGTCAGTGGTTCATTCACAGATCATCTTGGATCCAAACAGTTAGGAGTGGATGACTCATTAAAGCCAGATGATCCCTTTTGAGAGTCCAGTAAAATGCTGAAACATGTCAGAGATCACAGAACAATAAATTTCACTATTCTGAAAGCTCTCCAGTAGCCTTCCAGATGAAGAGTACTGTAATGATCATACCATCTAAAGTTAGTTCTGTATATTTTATCTTCCAGACATGTACAAACATATATAAGATTTAAATATATATATATATAAAAATGATAGAGAAGTTATTAACAATTTTTCAAAACTGAAAATTTTGATTTAGTCAGAGCAAAATCTCAAGTGATTCTTTAGTTGTCTAAGACAGTCTATCTGTCTGTGTACAAACGAACACACACTATTACTACTTTATGTTAAAGGAAGATGTACAGATTTGCTTAGATTAATTTAGACATAATTCAGATGGACTGGGGTGTTGTTTGAGAAAGTGATTAGCATGAAGATTACTAGCCGCAAACACATTTGATTGACATGTGTTTCAGACTGCAATTAATTAACAATATGTTTCTCTTATGCCACCAAGAATTTTTACACATGATGGCAAATATAGAACTTTAATTCAAACAGCACCTCTGAGGTGGGATGACTCAAGTAGCTCCTACCCAGAGGACTGTTGCATTCCTCCTCTGACCCCTGCCAGCTGATCACAGAGCAACAGCCTCTTACTCCTCACTTGAGGAAGGGTGACAGGTAACAGCTTCAGTATCAAGTAGGTGGGAGGGAGAGAAAAAAACAAATGCATGGCCCATGCAGATAAGTCTGGTGAAAGTAATAAGGGCTACAGATAATGTGACACTCAGAAGGAAAAAACAAATTGCAGGGAACCTTGGCAACATTTTTTTTTTCTCTAATAGCAGCGATCTGATACATTATCTCTTTGTGGGACTGTACAATTTATGTTAAAGATAGGATGATCCAGAAAAATTGCAGAAGAGATGAGATCAGCAGAAGAAATTGCTAGAAAACGTTTTGTGGTGCTTTCTGGATACAGCAATAGTTTGTAGATTAGCTCATGAAGCTGTTGGTGGCCGTATAGAGCAAGCTGGATTGGAAACAGTTTTTGAGTGGCTACAACTTACTGAGAACTCATCAAAACTGCACAAATACTCCTGATTTAGTGCAAGCAACTCCCCAGCTGCCATGGCAATCCCAGCAGATGGCAAGTGGTCTACAAGACAGTTTTCCAGCATGCAATCTTGCCTCAAAAACATGATTCTTATAAAAAAAAAACATTGAGGTATCTAAAAAGCAACTCAAAGAATTGCATCTCCTTCAATATAAATAAAATGTAGTGTTAGCCCAGTTTTTGTTTTGGTTTCTTCAAGCTGTATGAATAGGTTTCATTCACCTTCCACAGGAATTTTTAAGATTTTCCGTGGAAGTTTTATTTGAAGACAGAGGAATATTCTGTCTGGGATGAGCAGGTGACTAATGGGTTCACTTTTGGGGCAGCCAGTCCCAGTTCCTACACTTTGGTTTTTTAATTCTTCCCATTATGAAAGAGACTTCAGAGCTTTCCTGAAAAGTTTGAGAAGTTTTAACACCTCTTTCAGAAACAAGTGTTTGGAGTTTGGCAAGGAGGAAGTATCTGCGTCGGAGAAGAGCCTTTCTCCCAGATATAAATATCTGAGATACAAATATCTGCTGTGTCTTCCAAATAGCTTTACAAATATCTGTCTTCCTCAAGAAAATTTGCCAAAGGGGTAACTGCACACAGATATGCTCACCAAAAGCCAAATCTCTGCTACTGCCAGAGCAGTAGCAGCAGCATTACATGCTGCAAAGGTAAAGCACAGATATGGCCTGGATGATCCAGCTGAGGTGAGAAGACAAATGGAAACAAGTCCAGAGTTCGTTAGACTCTGCACTGGACACTCAGCTGGAGAGTAGGCAAAGAGTCTATATGCTCCATACAAACACATTCAAAAATAGGGCTTGGATTCAGCCTGTCTATACAGCTGCTACATCTCCAGCTTTGGGAAGAAAGGAAGTAAAAATCCAGACAGGCTCCCAGATGTGAGAAACTGGAATTTGGAGAAAGTATCATGTTCACCCTCAACACATGCCTGTAAACTACAATATCGTCTTTGGCTGCACTATAACACTGTATTTTTTTCTCCCAGATGAGTATGAAACAGAACTGACGTTTCAGGAAGTTGTGACAATCTGATGCTCAAGTGTCCATGGATCCAGAAAAACATCTCACTGTCCTTCTGCAAAGAGCATGGAAGTCCTTCACTCTCACTTGACTGATCATCAGAGCCATGCAGGTGATACCTTGATTCAACACCTTACCCAAGCCGCATCTCTTCTAGCAATGCAGCTCTCCTAGCATTACACTGCAATATTAGTTTGGGTCTGAGCCCAAATCCTGATGTGGGATTTAACTCACTGTTTTGACCTACAGGCTAACAAGTAATCCTGGCAATACATTGTAAATGAGCTAAACATACATAAACCCTGGAATTATTAACATGTACAGTATACAAAACTGCCCTAAAAATACAAAGCCTATACACCTCTATTAGTGCTAGAAAATCCTCATGAAGGAGGCAGCCAGTCCATGAAAGCCAATATTTTAGCCATATAAATAATCTGGTGTTTTGCTCCTGCTGTTCAGTTTTGTAAACAGCTGGTAACCACCCATAATTCAGATTTTGACCTGAGAACTTTACTGCTCTTTCTCATTAGGTAAAAATAGCAAAACAATCGGTCTGTATATTCTCAAATTAAAGAAAATATTGAAATTCACGTATTTTTTCTCTTAACATAACCTCTTGGAAACTGCCCACAAAAAAAAGATTGCAATGAAGATTGCAACTGCATTGTCAGAAGGACCCCAGTGCTAAAATTTGTTGCAGAGACATTAGGGTAAGTGTTCCCAGTAGTGAGCAGGTGGTACAAACATGAACCCTACTGAGATATAATGAGATGTGTATACACGGGAAGTTTAGGAACCTCCTGTGCATCTTTTTGAAAACGGCATAAAACAACTTGCAATTAAACTCTATTTGATGCCAGATGAGAAACAAATGTTTAAGAGAAAGTAGTTTTTAATACAATAATAATTCACTTTATATGTGCATGCCAGCAACTTTGCATGCTACTTCCCCAAACAGTCAGAAGCCTTACAGTCATTCAGCGGGAGATGAGATTTTCCATTTCACATATCTGTACAGGGATATTTCCTCTAAATTGTTGCATTTCTCACAATGACAAAAACTTAGTGTGCCAGACCTGCATTTTCACTATGCAAAGACCCCAGCCAGAGGAGCTCTTCAACACACATATATTCAATACACAATACAGTGGTATTGGTCATTAAAGTAAAAAAAAAGCAGCTTCATTGAAACCAGACACTGAATGTGCTTTCATGGACTGAAGTCAGAAGGTGCAGAACATGCTGTGTTCACTACGATTTTGTGAGTGGGGTGCAGTGGGAAGTGTCACTACTGTTTCCTATAGAATTGATTTTCTTCTCTTCCAGAAGCACATACATGTCAAGAATGGCATATATGGCATTCAAAGAAGCATCTCTGTTGCATACAGGTAAAATAAGGGCCTTGTTACCCTTGTAAAATCATGGCTCAGGCCATGATTAGCTCCTTTGGCTAAGTAGAAAGGGACTATGGGAAAGTGACTCAGCTGAGTTAGAGGTAGAAAAAGAAGTTGTACAACCATTACGTGTCCACATGGTGGTTTATAATGGTTGTTTGAATTGTGTTTGTTATGATTTAAAACCATGTAACTGATAAAGGCCTAACTGCTTAAAAAGGACTTTTTTTTTGCAATAAAGCAGGTCTCCTTTGCACTTGCCTGAGGACTCTGCATCACTCTGCTTCATAACACATCTCCGTTTCTCAAAACCCACAGTTTGTTCTGTTTGTGAGTGAAACTCCCTGCTCCAGTAGACAATACAGTTTGTCTCCAACAAGAATATTCCCAGTGAGGTGCAGTGAGCACTCCTGCTCACATGTAGGAACAATTCCCTTCATCGAGAAGTTGCATGACCAGAGTAAACAGCAAATCTGTATTGCTGAGTGCTACAGTATTGCACTCACACCTCGGTTCTGATGAAATTACTAGAAATATTAGTTTCTGTACTGAAGTTAGTAGCAAATTGGAGAAAATGAAACAAAAGGCTTGACAATCCAGCAGGTATGCTGACAGAGAATTAAGAGTTAATATTTTGCTGAAAATCATGCTTCAGTAAGCCACATTTTTCTGTTAATTCCATGTAGATCTCTGTTATATTTTTACGTTTATAGACACTGCTAGCTATCTGGAACTTTTCTTAGCAGTGTGAAATGCTAAAGGAAAAGAGGTGAGAAGCTGGAAGAAGCTTCTGCATTGCATCACTTGACAGGAAGTCAAGTTATCAGAACAAAGTCATATAGGTATCAATCTTGCTCCCATATATGGTGCACATCCTTGTTACCATACTGATATGAAAGGGCCATTAGGGCCTCTTATCAGCTGTATATTGGTGTAATTAAAGGGTTTGATAGCATTAACTTGAACTGTGAAAATCTCCAGACAATGCACTCTATCAGTCATCTGACCCTTGAGTTTAAACAGCTACAACAGGATGACTTTCTCCTCTGATTCACAAAGGACATGCTAAGCTGCTGAGTTCATTGGCTTTTTTAAGTAAAAATGGTGATTATTTTTTTTTCCTTAAAAGCAAACTATTCTTTTTCATCTAACTTTCTACTTCGATGACAGGAGGAAGTAAATTTAAAAAAAAACCAAAAACAAAAAACATCTTCTCCAATATAGTGTTATATTTTCATGCATATAAAATGCAGAGTACTGCAGAATTTGTGTTATTTTTCGTCATGTGTTTTAGTAGCTATTCTGTCATTTTAATTCATGTTGTTTTGTGGTCAAATAACATGAGACAATTTAGTGACAGTATATATTTCTAGGGTGTTCTTTGGTCCTTTTCTTGCATACCCAGGAAAGACTGATGCTTTTTGTCATGTGCTAGGAAATCCAGATATGTTCTGGTAGTCTAAGCAAAATAGGGAACTGGGGATTTAATTGACATTTTGTACTGTTGATTTGGATGGGTTGCTAAAGAAAGCCTATTATTTGCTATCCCTAGGGCTTGTGGAATTTACAGCACAGATGATGGGGGACAACAAAGCCACTAATCATCAGGAAGATTTAATCAACATTTTACTTTGGGGAATTTGGATACACCTTTTATTCCTAGCAAAGACTAGCCTGTGATCTGGTTTAAAGACAAAATTTAAAAGCACAAGGCAAAAGAAAAGAAAAATGAACAAACAAAACAGAAATAAAATGAGGCTGCTTATTACTGTTCCTAAAGGAATCTTTATTTTCAACTATGTTTCTTATTGCTTGAAAAATTTAAATCACTTTTATGAAAAATAGCTTTTTATTGGTATTTGCTATTACATAAGGATCTCCTGAAACATAAGAAACTAAAATAATTGCCAGTTTAGCAATTAGGTAGCTGTCTTTGGGTAATTCCACTGCAATTGTCTCACTCCTACTTTATCATGGTGAAGAGTAATCTCGGTCTATCTTGCTCCCAGTTGAGTATACCTCTGCAACACCTTGTTCTCTAAAACTCTGAACAGTTCATTAAAATCCTAAGGAATACTCTAAGTCCTGCAAAAGTCCTCTCTTTTATTTTTCTTTTCTGTTTTTTTCTGGTTTTATTTTCCAGCAAATTGATATTTCATAGGATTTTTTTCCTGCATCTCCTGCATTGTATAGATAATCTTTTGTTTATGTTACATCAAATATATTATACATTGTATTTATCACCTTTTCCCCCAAAAGAATTCTCCAAAGACTGTTATCTTTGATATATTAATCTTGAATTTGCAGAAATCCCCTTTTCCTCGAGAAAAACTGAAGTCCAAAAGTGATTCACCATAATCCCTTTGTCTATTGATTCAACCTTCTGTGTATCTATCTATTTCATATATATATTAGACACAGTACTGACAGGAAATGTAAGGGAAAAAAAAACTGGCAGAAGAAATTATAGTCAGATGTAATGTAAGTTTTTTCCATATATAGTAATGCAGTAAAAACATTATTTAACTCTACATTAAACTAAACATCATGTTTAAATTTTTCATAAATGGAAACCTTATTCTAAATCAGTTACTATAGCATGAGACTTTAAAATCAGAATTTTAATTTAGCTGTAAAGAAATGAAGGAGACTAACATTATTGTTATCAGTGCAATAAGCAACTTCAATGTTTACGAATGGATCGTAAATTGCACTAATGAAAAAAGAGCAGTGCATGGTCTTACCAGATTGGGTTAGAAATATAAAAAATAATATAATAAAAAATATAAAAAAAATATAATATTTTTCTGATAGCATCATTTTACCCTGTTTTCTAACAGAGCTTAGTAGATGTGCCACATTTGTGGTAGAAGTGGTATCCAAAAAAGCTATTCAAATGAATATGACTGTACCTTGATCTATAGCATGGAGCAATGATATTCCAAACAGTGAAGTTAACTAGATGAATTCAAGTGATTTCATGGTCTTTGGAAAAGCCCATCCAGAAGTATACTTTGCTCAAGGACAAGTCAAGGTAGCAACTATCCTTTTAACGTGGGGTTTTCCTCTTTTGAATGTATGCTATATGATAGTCACATTTATTCCAGAAAAAAATATGTGTAAAATCAGGTGAATATGATTGGGCATCAAAGTTGTTTGCAAAATGGCTTTATCCAGTAAGGAAGATGAGCCATGCCATGAGATTTACCTGCTGATTTCAACTGACCAATGTATTTCAAGGAGTTATAGATATGCATCTAATCACTTGCCATTCATCTGCCACATTAAAGAGATAATTAGTGAAGGATATTACATGAAACCATTAGCAGAAAGAATTGGTGATTGTGAAATATGTCTTGTATTGTGAATTCTTTAATAAAATACGTTTACAAGATTAAATTTTGGTGTTTACTGGACACTGAGTACTATGTTTCTTGTGAAAACATCACAATAATTACTGATAAAAATAGACAAGAGACAGACAGTTTATTTAGATGTTCTCCCAAAGGCCACCATTATGCAGGCAGCAAGAAGCAATGAAGCCTAGACTGCTCCAAGTGTTAACCACAAAGAGGGAAACAGGCTTTTCCCATCCTGCCATCTGCTATTCTGAATTGCTGGTTACGTGCACATTGGTTGTTTGGTTGGCTCTTTTGTTGGTCTGGGGTTTAAAAAAATGCAGCAGACTCCCATGTCAAATCCTAGGAAGTACTTACTGAGGATCTGAAATTTATTCCTGGTATCCAAAAACCTGCCTGTGCACTCCAAGCAACACCAGAGGAGATCTGCATCAACACAAATCCTGCATCAATGAATCAGCTACCTTTTCTTGCTGCTAAAATAGTACCTGCACCACCTGCTAAAGGCAATGGAAAGTTTCAGATACACAAAGGAATTCAGTGGAAGTCCATATGTCTTAATAGAAGTAAATAACAAGAGGAAAGTATTTTGAGGGCGGTTTTTGTTTTAAAACAATATATTGCTTCACAATACTAGAGGAGTTAACAATCTTGACAAAGGACTGAAAGAATAAGTGAGGAGAGAATTTTCTTTCATCTTATGCTTTATCTAGAACTTTATCTAGGAAGCAAAGTCACAGAGTTTGTCTGAAGCCAACTACAGCTTTTTTTGTTATTTCTGTTTATCTGAAGTTGACCTCACTGTCTGAGGCAGTCACTGTACTACCACTGATATTGCTGGTACTAACCAGCAATACAATGTAGTTGAGAGACACAAGACATTCAAAACATAACATTTTTAAAATAACTATATGTGAAAATTACATTAACATTAAATTTTAAGAAAAAAGAAAAAAGCCGTCAAATGCTGCAGAAAATACTTAAATAATTCAGGTCTGGAACAGAATAATTTTCAATCTGGAAATTAGTAGACTTGGGTGGGGGGGGGAAGAGGAATTAAGGAAAATAATCACATGCAAAGAGTATGATTAGGATAATTTAATATTCTAGTTACTAAAGAGTGCTTAATATTTAAAATCTCCCTGCTGTTTATCATGGTTAGTAGAGAGAGATATATGAGAGCAAAAATGAGGATGTCAATCCATTACATCCATTTTGTTATCAAGAGTAATCACCGTGTGAAATCTGGGATTGAAGAAATTATGCTAATTTGAGGCATGCAGAGAGAACAGCATCACATCCTGGGACTTCTATTGATCACAAGCTTGTTCAGGTTACATTGGGACAGAAAGAAAGTGGTACTATGCTTCAGGATCTCAGATCAAGGTGATATAACTCAGATAACATGAGTCAGGATGTTCCAAATTATTTTTCTAGAAGTTTATTCTGAGGTTTGTCTTTATTCCCAAACTATGTGGCTTTTCCTTCATTTTTTTGCTACCAATGCACAAAATCATTTTCTGACACATCTAGGAAGACAAGAAATTATTTTTCTCTCACATAAAAGAAGCCATAATTGGTTTTAAATTATACCTTCTTTAGCTCTATCTTTATATTTCAAGGAAACTACAGCACTGTTTGGGAATATCTTTGCTGAAGGTAATCTAGCATCCCAACATCTTTGGAGGGGTGTTACTTCAAACAGGACTTTAGTTCTCACACACATAAGATTGAGGACAGCCAGCACAGTCAAGAAATGCCATTTGCTATCATAGATCAAGACCTTCTTGACACAAGAAGTCTTCTTCCATAGAGTGATAAGGCCTGGGAACTTCTTACTTGAGTTGAAGATGACAGCTTGCAGACCAGAGACCCAGGTTATGCTTTCAGCACTTACATGACTCTTCTCCCTTTGATGAGAAATATGAATACTGAAAATACGATTTTTTCCAAACATCAGCTTCAATTGTTTATAGGGAAAGCAGGAACAGAGGGCTTGTCATTGAAAATATTTCTATGCCACACTAAGAGGATTCCAGATTTACAATTCTCAGAAGATAAAACCAGCAACAAAGTACCCATGACTGCTTCACTGAGGAAGGGATCTCATCCTTTCTCCTCTCTTCAGAAGGAAAATTTTAAGAGTTCCATGTCTCCACGGCTACACTGGCATTAATTCAAGCACAAGCTTAGGGATGTTGCCGTGATTTTTGGTGATTTTTTTTTATTTTTTTTATTTTTTTTGTTCTTGTGGTGATACTTTTGTATATCTATACATTGGAAAGGGTATGAGTGCATCTCCAGTTGGAAGAGGACTCAGGCTGAAACTGGGTGGTTGCTGATGGGGAAATGAACAGCAGGAGCCTACACAGATACCCAAATGCACACTCCATAACTGAATCCTTATACTAACATAGAAATGCTATAAACTGTACTGGCCATTGACTTTTGAAGGACTGAGCTATTATCTTCAATAAAAGTATCTTTTCATCCTTTCCTTTTTGTGGGTCAGTTCAGTTAAAAGGCTTCAGCTACATGTACTCACAAATGGAAATATGCTCATTTCCCAGCATTCACTGCTTACAGCTTTCTCTCTCTTTTTATTCCTCTAGAGTGAAAAATACCTTTTCTAACTAGCACAGAGAAAGCTGGGAGTCCAACTGCCTTTGGGACACAGGAAGGTAAAAGGATCCTTTAAGCCAATAAAAGTTACATGTAGGCACTTCCAATAAAGGCACTTTGAATACTCAGCACTCTCAGTATGTTTACCAGATCAACCCTACAAAAGCCATTCATGGGGCTCTGAGAAGGAGCTGAAAATGTAAGCGATACAAAAACTAGAGTTACCACACATAAATCAGCTCTCTAGTTTCAAATACTCAGAACTTTTCCTGAAATACAGGCATCAGTAAAGAAGCCAGAAAGCTGCATTCAAGGTCAGAGTTCAAATTAAAGTGGCAAGTAACTAAACAAGAGAAAATATTTATTTTGTGAACTATTTAATATTAAAATCTACTGAGGCTGCTGGACCATCAGTATTTTAGAGCACACTGTTTTCAGTTTGTTGTTTTCATAAGAGGATGTGAAGGGAAGGCAGATTTGGTCCATGAAGAATAAATGTGCATGGTCAAAAGGTGGATTGCTGTTCAGTGCAAGAAACTAGTAGCTTAAAATATTGTGCTGCAAAAATGTAAGTCCTTATGAAACAGACTCAGTGAGGAATGTGGTAAAGGGTGTTGTAGGTGCACTGATTTCAAGGCATTTGTTCTCCAAGCCCATTTTGCTGCCCACAGCTGCTCTTGGTGGGTTCAGAGAGTCTCACAATGCACCTTTTCCTCCAAATTTAAGAAGAATTTTAAGGCTGAGGACTGGCTACTGCAAAGAGTCCCTTGACCCCACAGGGATCTTACAATCTGTGATTTGATTGCTTAGCCTAGAAGGCATAGCACAATGTGAACATCACAGTGAGGATTTTCAAGTCAGTTTTTATTTCCTGTCAAAAGTCCCATTCGATCTTCATTGAAGGTAACTGAAATCTTTAGTAGCATTGACTTTTGAATTAGGCTGTAGTATATCCTACTTAAGTCACAAGCTTGCATCATCTTTAAGGCTGGTTAGGCACTGTTTAATGGATCAGTAATGGCCAAGGGCAGAATAATTAAAGTAGTATCTCAATGGACCAAAGGAATTAGAAGAAAATGGAGATTTATGGAAAAAAATCATTGTAAGAATGAAATAATTTTCTTGCAATTCACCTGATAT